TGTTGGATGGTGAAGTGGGCCTCAGCTCCTTCACAGAGAGCAGCATCCACCGGCAGGAACTGAGGGAGCTGCTGGACAAAGTGGTGGTGGAGCATCCTGAAGATAATGTGGCCAACTTTGACAAGATGTATGGAGAGGTGGAACTGCTCCTGCACAGCGGGGATGTCCTGACAGGCAAGTGTGACACTTTCTATGGGCACTGGCGTAAGCCTCTGAGCAAAGAATCGCTCCTGAAGAAGTTTCGATCCAATGCCTCTCATGTGCTTCCAGAAGAAAAAATAGAAACCATCATCACTATGGTGGACAACCTGGAGAATCTGTCAGATAGTTCCCAGCTGGCTTGCAGCCTGTGAGGGAACAACAAGTGGGTTTTTGATACGGGACTTGTCCCGGTGCAACTCTTATTCCTTTCTTCATTGGTGCTTTACTATTGATTTCCAATGACAGGAAAGTTCCCACCCACTGAAGTCAAAGTAGACACTTTAATACCAAAGGTGCCCATGAGGCAGGAGGTGTGTCTGTGTCAGTAACTAGTACACAGATTAAATTTCAACTCATGGTTGATGCTGTCTGAGTAACTGAAAGGCCACCACAAACACAAAAAAAACCCGCATGGAAATCTGTGAGAATCCTGGGGTATCATACGGAAGCCGATTTCCCAGAAGGAACTGTGTCTAGATATTTTTGAAAGGTGCATTCAAAGTTGTGCAGAACGCCTAACTGCTGAAACTGGGAAGAAGATGAGGTTCAGCTGCAAAATGTGTGCTTTTCTTAGTGCTCTTCTGAGCACTTCTCAGCTCATGATTAGTTAGTCATGCTGGCCAGATGAAAAATCTATCAGTTACTGTAAACAGCCCTGCCTGCAAAACTCTCAGGCAGAGAGGGATTTTTTTTTTCTTTTCCAGCAAAAGCCTCCCATTTTTTCCAGGACTGGAGAAGTGTTTGTCACTTCTCTATGTACATGGGATAGTTCAAGGACGCTTAAAACCGGTATGCATTTTCTGAATGAAAGGTAATCCGTAGGTGAGAACTCGATATCAGTCCTACACCTACATCCTACGCCTCCTGTAAGGTGATCCCTGCCAGTCCTAGAGCTGTGCCACATCATCCCTCCTGGCTTTGTGCAGGTGTCCCAGGACCTATTCAGAGCTGGCTCTCTAGAGATGGTCTCTATAGTCCGTGCAGAGATGAGCGCCTCTGGGTGGTGACTTGGGCACGTGCATGCTGTGACTCACATTGGGAAATTCCTGTTTGTCTTCCCTGAAAGGAGGGAAAACTTACTGAGACTCAGTTCTTAACTCATCTTTCCAGCTGGGGTGAAATCAGTACTTGTGCTCCTAAGTAGCCATTCACTGAAAGGCTTTCTTACCCTGCATCCTTTCTGAACAGCGAGATGGACGACTATGCAATATTCCTCTGTACATTAAACCAATACTGTGATTGCTGATCCAGACATTTCCAATATGATCCTGCTATAGGTATAGAAACTGTTGCAGAAGTGAGGGTTGACTTCTACAATGAAGACTGAGATGGAACTAGACAGGCAAGAAGGAATGTGGGCCGGTTCCTTTTCAGCTTGCTGGTAGAGGTCTATGCAGAGAACTTCCCAGCCAGAGCAAAAATGTTTGCCCAGCTGTTAATCCACTCTCTCATACTGTCTGGCATATTCACACTGAATCTTTCTGAATAAAGAACTGAAGTAAATTCATTTTATGCATAAAGATTTAATGCTATATTAAGTAGACCATCAGGTTTTCAGTTTTAATCTGAACATATGCAAAACAGAGGCTTTTCCAATAGATGGGAACCCAGCAGAAGCTAGGACATGGCCAGCTAGAAGGGTGGCCTGTGGCCAGTGATTTCTCCAGAGTCATATATTTACATTGAGCCCCACAGGCTGTTTTTCCTGATGACAACAATAGCTATTAGCCAGAAAAGCTTGACTGTAGTTAAACACAATATCTCAACAAAGAGAAGTTACCTAGTGTTTCTCCATTAAGCAAGAGATTTTAAACACTTGCTGAATTTCCATGGCAAGCTTCTAGTTTCCCTTGGTTCGAGTTATGTTTGAGACCACCAAAAACATCATTCCATGTTTCACAGCCCAGTGAACTGGAAACCCACAGAGCCAGTGCCTTACAAGCCAGCATTTAGCTCAACATTTGTCAAGAGAATCAATATATGTGACAGAACCGAGATGGGCTTCAATGGAGGGAACAATGTATCTCAGGGGATTATCAGTGGTTTCAGTGTCTCAACATTTGTTCCAACGTTCCCATTTCCATGCCTTCTGCACCATGGTGCAGTGATGCCATGTAGCAGTGAAGCTGAGCAGGAGAGGCAGAAACTAGCACCTTTTATGTCTTGGTGCTGGAGAAAAACCAAAAAAAAAACCCCCCAAAAAAAACCCAAAAAAACCCAAAGCAAAAACAAACAAACAAACAAACAAACAAACAAAAACCAAAAACAAACAAACGCTTTTCAGTTGGGTTTCAGGCTACATTTTGTCCCTGAGCTCTAGAAACCCTTCTAAACCTCATTCATGTGTTGATGCAGATGCAATCCTGATACCTTTCAGCAGATGATGGGTAAAATTAGGAAGAGAAGGCACAGGAAGGGTCCAATTTTCCTTTAACTGGTCACCTTATTAGTTAAAGCACTAAATAGCTTTTCTAGAGCATCTAGGAGCAAAAGCACACCTGAGATTTCTTTTCATTCATGTTATTTCCTCTAAAGGCCTAGGACCCTCAAAATGCCTCCAGTATCCCAATCCAGGAAAGTGTCTCACTCGTTATTTCCAATTTCAAATGGCAAATGTTTCATATCCTTAACTAATTAGGAAGCCCAAACCCCTGGCAGGGGAAGCAAGGCCTTAAAAGCGGCAAGGAAAAAAATAGCCTGTGAAAATTATAGAGCAACTTGTGTGACAGTGAGTGTATTCAGCGATTAATGTGGTGCCACTGAAGTCCCTAACTTCTCCTATCAGGCTGAATAAGAAAAGAGCCGTTGTCCTTCTTTCTACTGCTGTTCCAAGATAAATGACTTAAAATTAAGGAAAGGAAACATTTATCCACAAACATATTTATGGCAGCAAGTTCAGTGAATGAAAGGACACTTGCTGTGCAGAGCCAGGCAGGATCCGTGTCGGTAATCAATCAATAGCTACAATCCCACGCCAGAAATTCATTAGGCTCTTGGCCGATTAACAGGGCTCGCGGTCCCTCAGCACCCTGGAGAGCAGCCGCCGGGCTCCGGCACCGCGGGGCTCCGCTCCCGGGGGTCCCTCCCGGGGTCCCTCCCGGGGGTCCATTCACAAGGCTTTCGGCCATGGCAGCTCTTGTCTTTAGTTCCCACTCATGGTTCAACTCGAGCTGGGAGCAGCTTTTGTCTGTCCCTCGGCCACCACCGGCAACAAGGTTTTGATATTCTGAAGCAGTGAATTTTTTAGGGCTTCCTAATTTTTTTCACACCATGGAAAATTTTGGATTTCCCACGAAATGACAGCAGAAAAAAATTAGTACAATTCAGGATTGTTTCAATTTTAGAGAGGATTTTGACTGTAGAGGTCAGAAGAGTCCTCTTTGCCTTCGAGTGCTATTTCCGCGATGATAACATTGCTACCGCAGTGTGGCCAGCTGGGGAACTGCTCTCCTTGAGAAAACTCAAGTCGTTCTTTATTGTTTCACTTCTTTTTTTTTTTTTTTTTTTTTTTTTTTTTTTTTTTTTAATAATTGAGGAATTGCCTTTTAGATAATTAAAGGAAAAAAACTTAGGACAGTGCCACCAGTAACTGAGGGCCATCAGTCAGAGTCCAAGTGGACTCTGCTGTATTAGAGTCCTACCCTAGCTCTGCTGACACACCTTCTTCTCACAGGGATGAGTCCTGCCTCCCTCTGTGCCATGCAGGCAGCTCCATGCTAGAACTCCTGGAGAAACTCTGTATGCCTCTTCTGGACAGAGGAAGGCAAGAGTGTTGGTCTTTCTCTCCCTAGTCCAGAGAATCTCCCAGGCTCTGGACATGTTGCCATGAGAGGGTGTCAAGTTTTGCAAGGAGGCAAAAAATGAATGACTGAGAGAAACAGTCCACAGAAATGTGTCATGCATGGGGTTGGAAAGGAGGAGCAAACCCCTCCCAGCCACAGAACAAGGTTGTGTCCTTCTATTGGAAGCCAGGATCTGCAGGCCAGACACAGGCAGCTGGTGCAGGGGCCAGGCAAAGTCCTGTTGCTGCCTTACTGGGAAAACAGGGCAACCAGGCTCTTTTCCGCCTGATGCCAGTGTTTTTAGCACCTTACTTCCCCCTCATCCCTGCATAAATCTAGGTAAACTCACTGACTTCAGACACTCTCCCCTCCATGCAGCCATGTCCTCTCTGCTTTTTCCCATCCCAGGTGACAGGAACCCCATAAGCAGAGATGAGTATGAGGCACAGAGCTTCAGCCTCAGAAACACTGTGTCAGACACTGAGGCCAAGTTCTCAGTTCCTAGAAAGGGAGTGGGTTTCAACAGTCACAACTGGATTTAAATCACTGTCTTGGTGTAAGAGCCACCAGTGCCAGCCAGCCTAAGCCAAGCAGGCAGATGGAGAGGAAGGGAGACAGAAATCTTCAGCTGTGTAAAAGTGACTATGATGAGGTTCTTTTGTGTTCATGGAGGACAGTGTAGAAACGATGGGCTTCAACTACAGCAAAAGGGGTGTCAGACATAAAGAAAAATGTCCCAACAAGAGTAGTGCAGCAGCAGCAGGACAGATCTCCCAAGAAGCTCATGAAATCTCCAGTGATGGTGATTTATAAAAGTAGGATTCACACCCAGGGGTGAGAGCTGAGCAGGCTGCCTTGGGAAATCTGTCAAGATTCATGCAGACTTTTTATGGCTGGGGTTTAAGACTTGTCCTAGGTTTGCAAAATAAAAGCTTGAGCCTGTAAACTGGCCATCAAAAGCCTGGCTTCTGCATCCTGTCTCCTGCTGGGACACAGGCAGAGTATGGGTTGTTCTGTTTAGGACTGCCGTTTGCTGACTGCAGTAGCATCTGTGCAGTACCTGGAAACCTCGATCAGGTTCTCATCAGGGTCTCGGAAGTAGATGGATGTTATTGGACCCATGGCACCAGTTCTGGCCACAGGACCTTCTTCAATAATCACCCCACAAGCCTAGGAGGAGACATGAGTAGGGGTTTAATGCTTAAAGTAGTCTTATGAGGGCTTTATGAATTCTCCCCCCCAGCCTTGATAACACGAGCTGTTGTATGAAACAATTCTGACATTCCTCAAGACACAGACCCTGAAAGTGTCACTTGGGAGGGTCTGGCTTCATGTCTTTTGGGGTCACACTGCCTGTGGACACTCTATGCCTTCCTCACCTTCAGATGATCCAGCAGCTGCTCCAGGGGCACCTGTGTGATAAGGCAGATGTCTGCAGAGCCAGGGACCGGGCGCCGAGCTTTGGGTTCAAACTCCTTCCCAGCCTCATGCAGGTTAAACTTCTGGTTGCCAAAATGTAAAGCTTTGCGATTTCCCTGTGCCCAAAGAAAATAATCAAAGTGCATTGAGACTTAGTGGGCTGGAAGCCTTCAGCATCCACTCACCCATGTAGTCCTAAAAGTCCTGGGGACCTGGCTGTAGTCCTGCAAACTCTGGGCTCTTTCTATGTCAACCCAAGACAAGAACTGACCACTGCAAGGCTCCCATGACAGCCCTCAAGATGTGGTGTGACTCAAGAAAGTCCTACAGCCACGTTCAGCTACTTCCAAACCATAGTGATGTAAGTTTTCAGCTTGGGGCACTCTCCATCCTGCCTGTGCAGCAGCTGCACAAATAATGCACAGGTTGACACTGCAGTGGGAAAAAAAAGATGAGGCAATGGGAAGAGGGTGAGGAAGAAGGTTTTGGCATCTCTTTTCTTTGTAGATTTTCATGGAGATTTCTGTAAGCTCATATGGCAGCTGAGTCCCCATGGATATGCAGGACACTGACATGCCATCTGTGCCCACCTAAAGAACAAAATGAGGCTCACTGTAGCCTTGGGATGTGAATGTATGTGCTTTTAAGATACCTGAGGAGACGGGAGAGAAGAACATAACTTTGGAAGTTTAAAAGGTGCAGCATGTACATCCAAAACAGGTCAAGTGGCTTGAAGGTCAGGCAGGAGACAAGTTGGGGCTGTTCTGAAAATATCAACCATCTTTTCCTCTCTTTGCTAATGTAAATATCAAAACAAGAGCCTGTCAGGCTCTGTATAGGATGTGTGGGTTTGAGGGTTCTCCTTCTTCTGTCCTAGAAATTGTTTTTCAAACAACATTTCTCTTTTTATCACTTTGACTTCTTCTGCAGCATGGTTTGGACTTTCTTCTGACACAGCTTGACTCTGTTGAAACTCAGAGCTTGATGGTCTGCAGCTTGTGCTGGTCCTACCATCCCCACCCCAAGGAGGTTCCCCAGAGACCTTATCAGAGATCCACAAGGACCAGCCACTGGCTCAGAACTCCAGCTCCAGGCCTGCTAGACCTGAGCTGAGCCTGAGCCCCATGTTACCTTGAAAGTCACCACCTCCATGCCCAGGACTTTGGAATAAAAGGCCACAGTGTCCTCAATGCTCTTCACAGTCAACACAAGGTGGTCCAAGCGCTGGATGAAACATGGGGGTGGACTCATACATTCTTCCTTCCAGGACATCATCTCAGGCCTGGGAACCAGCATGCAAAACCACAGAACGTGAAGGTTAGACACACAGCTACTCAGGGATGTAGGTAGCTGTGAACAGAACTGTGAAAGGAGATCAAACCGATTTCTCTTGGCCTGCAGGTGGCACAAGTACAGAAGCAATAAATTATCCTCCTGGAAGGGCCTCAGACCCCTGCTTTGCTCTGGTGGAACCTGAGCATGCCAGAGCCCCTGGCTGGGGCCAGATCTTGAGGATCAGCTGTGTGACCTCGCTGAGGGCTGACGTCACCAAGATGCTGAGCCCCCAGTGCACAAAAACCTGTGTGCACCGAGGATGGACCATGTGTGTGATCCTTTCCTCAGACTCCCTTTAGTGTCCTCCCAACCTCGTTCATGTCCAGGTGTGGACACTCATCCAGGTGGAGCAGAGACAGAGAGTGAAGACAAGATGGTTGCTGGCAGTGCAGTAGGAAATGTCTCTGGGGGAAGAATATTCCCTGGAAAAGAGGGCACCAGGGCTGCTTCGTGTCCCCATGGAAAGGGGCTCTGTCATTATTGTACAGAAAGAGCACAGAATCCCTTCTGGTGCCTATATAATGTAGATGTAAAACATGGACTATAAGATAAGGTCAGTGGCCCTAACCAGTGCCAAGAGGATGAGAACTTGCCACCAACATGACTGCACTGTGGGACTGATCCCAGGGGCTGAACAGCTGAGGGCTCTGGGACTGTGACATGATGGCTTGGCAAGAAAGAATTAGTTTTAGGAAAATTTAAGAGTGATGAAAATATTTCAGTGACCTACTTGTCACATGGCTGCTTCACTTCATCCCCATTTGCACCAGATCAGGATCCCTGATGATCCTGTTCTGATGATCCCTGAACCCCTGATCCTCAGCACATATATAAAGCAGGCTCAGGCTGCTTAACTCAGTGACAGCAGATCTTCCTGCTGTTCCCAGAGCCTGGGAGGACTTTTGTACCAAGCTGTTAAAAGGAAATGGATCTGGCCTTGGTAGTCTGAATTATATTTCTGAGAGGCTGTGAAGTTTTAATTTCATTTTGGGTTTGGTTGATTTTACCTTCATAAAACCTGGCTGTGGAAACTAGGAGGTCTGTGACAAGCCCCTCAATGACAAATCGAGTAAAGTTCCTTTCAAATCAGTAACAGCTCTCTACTTAGATACATTTACTTCTTGCTCTTAAAAAGCCCCAAATCCTGAGCCAAGTGACAATTCATTTTCCTGAGACCCTCAATAGTTTCTCCACTGACACCCTTGTTCAAGGCAAGTTCAACACTCCTGTTGCCTCTCAGGAAACAAAACAAAACAAAACAAAACAACAACCAAACCAAACCCAAACCCAAAACCAAACAGGAAAACAGCCCACAACACCAAGCCCTTTTTCCTTGACGTTTGCCCTCAAAGTGATAGATGTCATCAGCAGTGGGTGAGGTTGATGCCAGAGATTCAAGGAGATGCAGCATGAGGGTATAGGGGACTCCGCAGCCTGGGCTTACATTGGTTCCTGGTGTTTTCTTTTAGGTTGGGTTCATATGATCTGGCATTGCCCTTCTGCAGCAGAGTGGCAAGGAGAGATCTCAAGGTCAGCATAAAAGCAGGCACAGTTTCACCGGGACATCTGCTCACTGCAGTCAGAGGAGCTTGCTTGGAGCAATACCTCGTTGTCCCCAAGCCCATGCTGGGACTGCAGCATGGCCCAGACTGTGCCCGGCGATTGCACCCGTTATGGAGGGAAGCTCTTAACACAGGCAGAGGAAAGTCACTGCTCCTCTTTGCTGCAGATGGTGTGTGGTGTTTAACAACCTCACCTCTGAGCAACCTGGGCTCAATCCCTCCGCAAAGCCCTTTCCACCCAGGAAGTCCTCCTGGGTGTTCCCAAGTTGCAGGGCCCTCATGTCACAGCCTGCAGCTCCCACCTCCCGCCCAGCAAAGCTTGCCAATGCAACCCTCCCCTCCCATGTGGGCCCCTCAGTGAAGAGCTGCAAGGAAATTGGACTGCAAAAATAGGCTGAGTACCTGCGAGAGAGGACAAACAATTGGGCAAGCCAGTGCCGGACGGTTCCCTTATGACAGACCTCTTCCTGCTGCCTGGAGCCGAGCTCTGCAAGCAGCAACGTCACAGCAGAATGGGGGGGGAACCGAGATTAGAAACAGGAGCTCTGAACACTGCTCCCCGCAGAGGTGTACCTTGACCCAAAGGATCTGAAAGTCCAACTACATAGAGTTGCTTGAAAAATCCCGGAAAAAGAGTCTGGATATTTTAGCAACATATTTTTTTCCCTTGCAACAGAAAGATGTGTTAATGTGCTGTATTAAAGCACAGTTGATCTTGGTGCTCAGGCTGGGGTGATTTACTGTTAAGTCGAAGCAAGGATATCCCTGGAGAAGAGCAGCTGTGGCAAGAAGCTGTAGTGGGCTCCCCACCTCCCCAGCAGTGGGCAACGGGCCTGTTCACCTCTTTACCAGCAAGATTATATTCTGCCATGCAACTTGCTGAGGTCTTATTGCCCCTTCGAGGCACTTGCTGTCGCTGGGAGCACTCCAAGCTCCCCCTAGTAAAAGATGTGTGAGCTGTAGGTGGCATGCTAACAGCCAATAGATAGCAAGGAACAATAGAAAAGATGATGTGCACAGCTTTGTGCCTCTTTTTGGACACTCCTTCCTGCAAACAGACATATCCAAAGGGGTTCTCTGTGGTCTGAGGCAGAGTTAGAGATTTTCTTTTTCTTCCTCTACCCAAATCTGGCAAAAATAAAATGGAGTTTTGAAAGGTCTGATGCTCTCTGCGCAGTTGGCTTCAAAGGATTGAGTAGTTCAGGCTGCAGAAAAGCTGCTGGGCAAGTGGTTCAAGGCACAGGACATTCTGTGTTAAAATTGTTCTGCCCAGACCTTCTTCACCCAAGCTGTCCACACTTCACTCTGTGCAGCAACATGCCAAATAAACCCCAAATTTCTGATACATGGAAGTAGCTGAAAATGGTTTTTTGCCTTGGGTCAAGGGAAAAGGACACCTGTGTGTTGCTGTGGGAGGGAGCAGTTAAGTGCCTGTATCCTTTTTGTGCAGCCTTTTTGGACTTTTCTCCCCTAATTGTCCAAGCTGGCTGACAAAATTTACCCCAAAGCTACTTCATGGGTTTTCATCTACTGCCAGCTAGCAACGGTGAGGGTGAGTAGGTTAGACAAGCTAATTCTGGAACATGCAACATCACCTTCATGCCTTCCTGGTCTTGAAGGTCACTGTGGGTTTACTCACGCTGGAGAAAGCAGAGCTGAGGTAGAAATCCCACAGCCAGAGCTCTTCCTCCTCAGTACAGTCATGTCCCTTAAGAGTCCTCCAGTGGGGGGAATGCCACCGGTCTCCACACAAAATAACAGAAATAAAGAGGATGCCAATGCTCTGAATGAGTAAGGATGCTCATAAATCTGCCCTGAGAGTAATTATGGAAAACAGACCATACTTATTTTTGAAACACGGGTGACACCCCACTCCTGTGGGCTCTGCAGCAGCCTTGTGCTAGCTGGCCCAGAGCAGGGCAAGCAGGACAGAGAGGAGATCAGCTCACACTGCAGCCTCGCTCGAAGGAGGCTGTCAACACCTCTTCCTTCTGTCAGCCCCCGATTTTCACATGACATGCCAGAGCTGACTGTTCTGGTGATTTCTGTTGTCCTATCCACTCCAGACCAAGAGGTTCAACAGCTACACAGTGAGGCTGGCAGACAGAGGGACAACAGAAGGCGGACTTCCCAACCTCATTTTCTTGGGAAAAATCTAATATATTTTCTTTACTAAAACTCCCAAGGTTGTTTCCACAGGTGCTAACAACAGTACCATTGACATTGTCACCTGACAGGGCTTTGAGGGCACTAACTGACTTTAGTAGCCCTGACCAGACTCACCTGGGGGCTTCCACCCACATCCGTGGGCCCTGGAGCATATTTAAGCTCTTCTCAGGACCTTCATTCCGTGTCTGAGTTTTGGTGTAGGGGTGCTGGTCTTTAGTCTAGCCCCAGGTGTGCCTCTGCCTGGCTAATTATCCTGCTGGTCTGGATTTCAGCTTACGGACTGATATCCTGGTCCTTGACCCTGTGTCATCACTATGGACCTGCTTGTTATTTTGTACTGAACCAAAGTCCTTCTTTTTAGAGAGAAGGTTATAATGGACATCATGTTAACCCTGTGATTACCATCACAAGATACAAAGGCCATATTTTCAACAACAAAAATAGATTAGCAAGCTGAGATGTTGCTATAGGATGTTTCATAAGAAAATGGGATGAGAACAGGCAACTCCCTGAAAGATGAATGTGGATCTCTAGAACTGTAGCGTTTGCTCCACTCCAGTTTACATGCAGGTAAATTCTTTCTTAACTAAAAGCAATACAATTTTTTATGGTAGTAACTCTGAAATTTCATCTGTGTCTACTGAAGTAATGAGCAATGATGCATATTCTGATACCTGGATATAGTAACACTGCACACATCTGGGTGTCTCGGAGTGTTGTCACCCTGTTGTTTTAGCACAGGTTCACTGTAAAATCTGAGAGTACATAAAAAAGAGAGAGTGCCTGGAGAGAAGATGCTTTTCACTGTTCAGCTTCCCTGGATGTGGTCTGCGAAAAACATACAGCACCGGCACTCACTGTGGTAGAAATCTGAGGTTTGGGAGGGGTTTTTTTACTAGCTGCCTAATGGTTTCTTAGAGCAGGGAAGATGTGGTTTGGGTCTGAGAACTCCACTTCCCCAAGGGACATCTAGCCAAAGACCGATAAGTCAGAGGCACTTTGGCATTAAGTTCAGGATGGGATCCCCATATATCAAACTTCAACTCAGGAAGGGTTTTGAGTTTAGCTCCTTAAAGGTGTAGCTGCAGACAAGGATTCTGGAAGTCAAAAGACATCCAAAGAGGATTGCCTCTACATGTTGGACAGAGTGATGGAGTTAAAGTAGCTCAGCAAGTCCTCCATGGTGAAGTCCATGGCGATCCCTGAGCCTTCATAACAGCGTTGGATGAGATCCTCAAACTCTTGGTACTGACGTATGAACTCCTGCTCCATAGCATGCCACACCACCTAGGGAAAAACACACCGTCAGCTCCCTTCATCAGCCCGTGACAGCTATACATGCTTTGCCGTCCTGAACCCCACAAAACCTCATAGCATTACACCCAGACCGCACGCCAGTTACCGGCAAAAGATTTTCCTCCGGGGAGAGATACTTGTGGATTTTCCTGTAGAGGGTCTCAAGGGCTCTTTTTACTTCCTTGCCAGGGTATTTTTCAATGACTTTCCTCAGCTCCTGCTTGCTGTAGGCAAGCTGAAAGCTGACCTCTTCTTCTTTCACCCCTTGAGCCACACGGGCTTTCACCCCTTCAAAAAAGTGCTGGAAAGACAAGAAGACATTCACTGATGAGCTGCCCTAGGGCAGACTCCTGTGTCAGGGCTGAAACCTGACCACTTTCCTCAGTTCCCTTCCTATGTCTAATTAAGTGGAAATTAAGTATTGGAGATTGCTCCAGGAAAGCAGGGCAACTGGGAATTTGACCAGTTCTCTTCCCTCCCTACTTGACAAGCAGCATCTCTAAGGGTTGCAGTACCATGGAGCAATGGATCTGCTGGAAAAACCACTCATGTTCCTTCATACAGCTTTGGTCACTACAGACGGTTTGAAGCCAGAGGTGGTGTTGGGGGTTCCCAGAATCTGCAGAAGTGTAAAGCAAAACTCAAGTTTTCTCAGTTCTTCCAGGTTATTCTATGAAAGCAAGAAAGGCAGTTCTGTAGGGAGGAGTTTTAAAAGGAGCACATGTTCCACCCCAAGCACAGATGTTGCTTGAGAGCCCAGGGCTATGCCAACCCAAGGGATACAGACCTCTGCTAGCTTTCAGAAAAGTACCAAGAGCAGCGTAGCTCCACAAAAAGCTCAGTGCCAACAAATATTTTTTCTGCATAAGCTTTTCAGAATCTGTCAGGCTGGAAGGGACCTCAGGAGGTCTTTAGTTCAACCTCCTGCTCAAAGCAAACTCAATAGTGAATTCAAACAAGGGTATCTGAGGCATTTCTCAAGGTAGGTCTTGAAAACCTTCAAGGATAGAGATGGTGCAACCTCTCTGGACAGACTGTTTCAATGCTTTGTTATCCTCATAGTCATTCTTGCCTTCTATCCAGCTGGAACCTTCCTTTTTGCATTCTCTGACTGTTATCTCTCATCCTCTTGCTATGCACCTCAGTAATCTTCTAGGGAAGGTGGCTACTAAGTACCCCTGAAATTGTTTCTTTTCCAGGCTGACAGAGCCTAGCTCCTTCAGCTTCTTCTCACCATGTTGGTGGCCCTCCACTGGCCTTGCTCAAGTTTAACAACACCTCTTGTCACACGTGTATGTGACACACATTTCTATCTCTGCCGCAGCTAGACATGGTGTTCCACATCTGGTCTAATGAAGGCTGAAAAAAGAGAATAATCACTTTCTTAAACCTTCTGTCTACCTTCCTGTTCATATAGCCCAATAATATGTTTGCTGTCTTGGGTATTTCCACTGCAGTTCTGCTGTGAAGAAATACTGTAAATACCAAGGATTTTCAGAGGGAAAAAGGTTCCTAAATGTATAAACTGTTTTCAAAACCAGAAATGGGCTCCTACATTACCTAGGCCCCTTTGCAACTTCCCTTGATGTTAGTGAATTGTGCTCAAATCTGAAAAGGTATGTGGTGTTCTAGGGAAGGCCATGTCAGGACTCCAGAAACCCTGAGCAGAATGCAATCACTTTGCTTGTGAGCAATGCAATTATACTTTCCCTCACAGAGGAAGGGTTTGAAGTCATTAACATAGCAGGGCTGCAGGTAGCATGAGACACCGAGCTGATCTTCCAGTCAAACCTGCAAGATGTTTGACAGCAAAGACTGGAAACAAATTGAAAGTAACAGGCCCTATAAATTATTCAAGCTGATCTCAGACTGTGAGACATTTTAGGCTAGTGAGAAGAGAGGAGCAAAGGGAGGAGGGGTCTCAGGAGCAGCCATTGTCTCTGGGAGGAAGGGGGATGTCTGTCTGAATTTGCAAAGCCAGATGCTCTTATCTCAGTTAACAAAGCAGCCACTT